TGTTGATTTGTCGTTAGTGTAAAGAAAGGCAACTTGATTTTTGAACATTAATTTTGTAACCTGCTACCTTGCTGAATTCTTCGATCCGCTCTAGTAGCTTTTTTGTGGACCTTTTAGGGTTTTCTATATATAGTAACATGTCGTCAGCATATAATGACACTTTTACCTCTTCTTTTCCAATTTGGATCCCTTTTATTTCTTTCTCTTGCCTGATTGCTGTGGCTAGGACTTCCAGGACTATATTGAATAGGAGTGGTGATAGTGGGCATCCTTGTCTTGTCCCAGATTTAAGAACTCTTAAAACTCAGTAATAGGGAAATAAATCAATAAGGAAATGGGAAAAAAGATTTGAACAGACACTTCACAAAATAAGATATGGAGATGACAAAGAAGCACATGGGAAAGCACATGAAAAGATACTCAGCATTGTTGGTCACTGGAGAAAATTTAAATCAAAACAAGGTATCATGGCACAGATATTAGAAAACAGTTTGGGTGTTTCTTAAAATGTTAAACAGACATCTACCATATGATTCAGCTATTTCACTCTTAGATATTTACTCAGACTGAGTTTTGATTTCAGATTATTTGGATATTTATTTTACTAGAGGGTAAATATAAACACCTAAAGATTAGGAACACTGTTTTTTAAAATCTTATCTTTGTATTTAATGTTTATTCCTAGAATCAAGTATCCTATCTGGAAGCTGGAGCTGTTCAGTAGATGTAATCGTATGAAGTCTGTGTAATCCTCTGATTGAAAGGTGGGCGGTGGAAAGTAGTGCAGACTTTGAGTGTCACCGGAGGGAGGATTATCATTTTCAAAAACAGGTGAGAACGTAGAATGGCGGCCTTCAGGCTCTGCCACGATTTCCTTTGCATCTCAAGCAAGAGATTTTTCTAGGGTCCCCTCCAGGTTGGCTACTCCCCACTGCCCATCCGGACACTTTCCACATCACAGTGAACCCCTGTAGGCTCCTTACCTCCCTGCTGACACTTATCTACCTAGTTTCTTAGTTATTAATGTGTATGAGACTATAAGTTATTTAAGAGTAGAATTCAGTTCTGGTTTTTCTGTATCCCACAGCTTCTCATTTAGCAATCTGTACATATTTTGCTCAACTAAATGTGGTGATTGGATGAATTTTACACAGCTTGATGTCCCAAGCACGATCTTTTCCTCTCAGGAAATATGGGAGCTATGAACAAAGTAGACAATTATACTGTCCTCATTCAATTTATTTAAGTATTGGTGCTATCTCTAAGTCTGGACTCCGAAAGTTTTAAAGCAAAATCGAAAAGCTATTTTTCCCAGTATAAATGTTATGTGTGCACATTATAGAACAGGTAGAAAGTATGGAAAATGAAGTGTTGGTGGAAAAGTAAAGGTGGTACACACGTTTTTGGAGGACAGTCTGATAATCTACCAACATTTTTAATTTACATCATTATTTATCTGGTATCTCTATTTCTGGAAAATTATCCTAACCTTCCAGGCTTTCTCCCATGAACTCTTTATTTGTGATGGGACATAATTTTGTATCCATCTTTTCTCATTCAACACAAGATTATTATAAAATAATAATTTCCTTGTGTTGTTTTAAAGTTTTTTACATAACATTCTTTTAAAAAATTACATAACATACTTAAAAAAATTCAACAGTTTATTAAAATATACTATATACTAGGAACTTTTCCATTTGCTGAAGATAGAAAAATCCCAATTCTTATAGAATCTATAGAATATAGATTGCATTATAGTGGGAGCAGCATACACACAAACAAGTAAATATATATAGTAAATTTACATTACGTTCTCTTTCTTTTTTTAAATTGAGGTATAGTCAGTTTACAATGTTGTGTCAGTATCTGGTGTACAGCATAATGTTTCAGTCATACATATACATATGTATACTCGTTTTTTTTTCTTTTTTAATTGAAGTATAGTCCGTTTACAATGTTGTGTCACTTTCTGGTGTACAGCACAATGCTTCAGCCATACATGAATATACATATATTCGTTTTCATATTCTTTTTCATTATAGGTTACTACAAGATAGTGAATATAGTTCCCTGTGCTATGCAATATAAACTTATTGTTTATCTATTTTATATACATAACATTCTTAATGTCTGCGTGACTGTCTGTCATGAGATGGTACTGCAGTTCTCCTATTACTAGTCATTTGGTTTCTTTGCTGTGAAGGGAGTAGCTTATAAATATTGCATAACAGATTATCTTTAGAATAAAACTTTTTCCATATATCAGATTATTTCCTTATTTATGCATATTATTTAATTGTTCTTTAGAAATGTTTCCAAAAGGGGTGTGCTATTAATTGTACCCCTAGAAATAAGTATCTTTAAGTAAATTTAATTGCTTTCAGAAATTCGCTCGATTCTGAGTCAAGTACTTGATTGTAAGGAAGGACAGGCTAGAATTGATGGTTATTTATTCAGTCCCCGACACCAGCTAAAGAGCATCTTCCTGCTACATGCATTTTATTTTCACTATTTGCCTATTAAATAAAGCAGAAGTTTAAATATAGCAGAAGACTAATGATTCTTTGCCACAGTTTATGCTCCACAGAAGTTACAAGCACTGATGAAGGATCAAAAGTATCTTGCAATCCTGTGCTCTAATTTTTGCATCAAAGCTTTCATTTGGCACTCAGACATCCTTAATGATACGAAAGTATGACAAGCGGTATCCTGGTCTATTTATTTTCTCTGGTTTATACTTCCTCATTGCTTGCAAATAGCTACCAGAGCTCCTGAAAAGTGGAATTGAAGGGATTTAACGAACATCTTGCAGATAAACAAAACCACCAAATTTCTAGTCTAAGATTTGCCTTTGTCCAAGTTACATGGCTTTTCAGATCTGTGGTGAGAGAAGTACAGCTCTAATAGGGGCGGACGAGATGGCAATCATCAATATGGCTTGGGCTTTGAACTGTAAATAGAAAAAAAAGGAGTAGTAAGAAATGTAACAGGAGAAAGTAAATGTTAAGCTTTCATCTTTTCTTTTGAGTTTACTGTTGGTTCTTACCTTTGTGAAGGGATTCATGTTTTCTTTGTTTTCCCTGGAGGTATTTATTTATATCTTTATATTTCTATGCATGTACATATGTATCTCTATGTCTACTTATAAATAACAGTGCTAGTTATCAAATCGTTGTCTCCCTACTCCAAATTCGCTGCTCTTTGTGATTTGTGATCAGGGGTGGAACTGTAACGAACTATGAGAGCTGGTGCAATGTTAGGTTCTGTCAATAGAGAGGGCTCAAGAGACAATGCAACCATTGCCAAAAAAGAGGCTTTTCCTGGATGTTTTTTTCTTCTTCCTTCAGCTGTCCCAGCTGCTAGGGGTAGTTGGGTGGCCCAGTGGCTTTTAATGTCCAGTGAGACTCTCCATCACCTCAGTAGAAGTCTTCCTGCAAGCCAAGCACAATCTCTTGGTGCTCCAGTGGGCAGATTCCAGTAAACCAGCTTCACCTCCTGGCACCCAGTGAACTTCACAACACCCCAGTGCATGACCACCTGCAGATCAGCTCCGGCCCACAACACCCAGTCAAGTTTTCTGCCGTTCAGCAGGTTGCAGTTGGACTCACAAGGTCCAAGTCTCAACCTCAAGAGTGATCAGTGCTCTTCCAAGTTTTTAGTTTCTTCCTTGGATACTCTCTTTCACCTAGGGGTGTAATTGCTCCCAGCATCTGCTGGGAATCCTCTTTAGCCCATTTAATAGTTAATTGCTTTTCACTCATTAAAAATTTTTTATATATATATTTTTTCCTGTTCAAATTTCAGGTGTGGTTTCTTATTCCTGACTGGATCCTGATGATTCACTAACAAATAGTTACTGAGCTCCCATTATGTACCAGACACCATGCTGGGTACCGGAAACGCAGCAGAAAATGAGGAAGACAAGATTCTGGTCCTTGATGCCTCTCCAGTTTCCATAATGAACAAGTAAGGTGTTAGACATGGCCGTGAAATCTGTTTTAGGATGAGAGTCAAGCGGGAGGGTCAAAAACATTTTCCTGAAGGACGTGACACTTCAACCCCAACTAAAGATGGTAGACAGTGGCCAGGTGAAGAGGTAGGGGAAGAGTGTTCCAGCAAAGGAACGTGATGCTTATCCAGCATCAGAACTGAATGGAGGTTGGAAGACTGGCCACTTGAAAAATGCTCCTGAGAGACTGGGAAGAGGGAGTGAGATGGAAGCAAAGGTCAGATCTCTGAGTGCACTGACAACCACGTTAGGGATTTTGAACTTGACCAGTAGCCCTGAGGATTGTTGAATCATAGAGTGGTGGTTCTCCACCCGGGCTGCGCGTTTGAAACATATAGGGTACTTAAAGCCTGGGTGGACCCCAGGCCAATTAAATCAGTGTCTCCAGGAGGAAACAGGAGGTATCAGTAGGTTTTTAAGTTTCCCTGGTGATTCCAATGTACAGGTAAGGCTGAGAGCCACTGATCTCAGAAAAATAATGTATGCCATGATGAGGATTCAATTACCAGTTTAAGGACAAAGCCCACTTATTAGTTGGTGAAAGTTTTCCAGCCCAAAGATTAAAGTAATCTATAATGCTGCTTCATTATGTCAAAGTCATTTAGAATTCCAAAAGCACCGACTTGGCATTGTTGCCAAAAAGGAAGTGGTTACAGGAAGTGGTTACAGGTGGCAAATATTTTTAATGTAAATTTCCTCAAATACTCAAGTCAAGGATGCTATCACTGGGGAATTGGGTAAATATTTAAAATTAAAGTTAATGCAACATGGAGCTTGCTAGTGAATTTTGCTTTAGTTTCAAAAAAGGACTTCAGATAGTTAAACAAATATTTGCTCTGTGAGTAAAGAAATGAATGAATGCCCCCTTTGTAATTTGATTCTAATTAAACAAAAAGAAAAGGAGCCTATCTGCCACCTCTTAACTTGACTGAAATTAATAAACATTAGTTTCTCATTGGAGATTAACCTCAAGATAAACCAGCCCTTCGAGCTGCGTTTGACTAATTTATGAAAATCTATATTTAGCATATGGGTGAGAATTACCACTACCTTTGACTTCATTTTTTCTGGCACTAAAAACTAAAGTCAGTTTCAAAAGAATCTTAAGCACTTTGGCTGCACAGCTGCTCCTATTGCTTTCTAACCTGCTGCGCTGACCTCCAAACCACACTGTTTACCTTACTTCAGAGACTGAATCCAATGCACCACCTCTGGAGACGATGCAGGTTAAAGAAAAGAAAATCATTAGGTTTTGCATTATAGAAGCGTTACAGGAAATGAGGACTGAAATCATAACGTAGCTGCAGTAGATCAGCTAATCTCATTCAGATGGACATGGTTCTTGTATGCCGATCATTTGCAGTGACAAAGGCACATGCATACGGCTGTAGAGAGAGAATAAATGAATCGATCATCAGGTGTAGTCTAGTCAACCTGTGACATGCTGGAAACATGAAAATTAATGTTATTAAAATTCCCATTCAATGCTATATCCCCTTCTGTGGTACTTGTTATCTAGTCCACGTCTTCCGGCACTCTGTTTCAAAAGATGCTGCGTTTTTCTCTAGCACTTGGTTGCGTGCTTGCAAATCTCCATGAGTGTAAAACCCCTTGAGATTACAAGACCAAATTCATCATAGGATACTTTTCTTTCACTCATGTGCCTGGTGGGGAACTAGGCTTAGAGTTGGGATCTGCAATGAGTGCTTTTTTTTTTTTAAATAATGACAAAATATACAATACACTCATTTAGCAATTCGTTCTCACAAAAATTCTGATGATTTTTGAGGGCTGCTTCTATCAGTAATCAACCTTAGGTTACAAATGGTAAACAGGTGTGAGTGTGTGTGTTTTTATCAATGTATAGTTGATTTACAATGTTGTGTTAGTTTCTGGTGTACAGCATAGTGATTCAGTTATATACATATATATTCCTTTTTATATTCTTTTTCATATAGGTTATTATAAGATACTGAATACAGTTCCCTGTGCTATACAGTAGAACGTTGTTTATCTATTTTATATATACTAGTTAGTATCTGCAAATCCCAAACTCCTAATTTATCCCTCCCTTCCTCGTTTGGTAATCATGTTTGTTTTCTATGTCTGTGAGTCTGTTTCTGAAGTGCTTTTTGAATTACATGGATAGCGGCTTGGGTTGCTAGGTCGTTCCACAAAGAAAACATGTGACTATACCCATGATATTGTAAAATATTACAATATGCTGTAAAATAGAAGACCACATCATTCCCTGGGGTTTCGCTGTGTCTTGTTTCATGCTCACTCAGCTTCCTCATACATATTCTATAGCTAAATTGCTGTGATATAGGAAGCTGTGTTTAACGGTATCTGAATTAGAAAAAAGAAGTAGCTGTCAAATATGGCCCAAGCACAATGCATGCTATTTGAGTGCTTTGTGAAATAAGACTCAAGAACACCTCTAACTGAAACAAAAATGCAATTGGAGAACGGTATCTTAATGACTGAAGGAAAGAGGAAATCTCTCAATTGTTCAAATTGGTCTCAATAAGGCCCTCACAGAGTTCCACTGAGAATTATGACTCTTTTGGGGTCAGCAGGGAGTTATTTATGTATTTATTTAATGGAGGTACTGGGGCTTGAAACCAGGACCTCATGCATGCTAATCATGCACTCTACCACTGAGCTATAGCCTCCCCCAAGAATTGTGACTATTTACGTGTTATTGTCTATACTAACTTCCATTCTACTTCTAGAAATACAATGCTAGGCTCTTTATCAACCATCCCACCACTTAGGTCTGATATTAACAGTCCCACTGGAGAAAGCGCTAGAGGAAAGAGAACTGGGAGAGGTAGGTTCTAGCTTTGGCTGAGCCACCGAATAACTGTGTGGCCTTGGGAAATTCACTGGCATTTTGGGGGAGGAAATAGAGGTGGAGGAGATTCTAGAAGTCATGGATTCTGACTCAGCCAACACAAAGCCGGCTCTGCTGCAAAACCTCTTGTGGGTTCAACCTCAGTGTAGGTCCTTTTCCCTTAAAGAAAGAGAGAGCTCGTCATTTATGATATAGCCTATTCTTTTGCTGGACAGCTCCAAAGACTTGAAAGATTTTAATTACATTGAGCTAAAATCTATTGCTATGTAACGTCCATCTATTGGTGCTAGTTCTTTGGAAGATGGGGTTTGGCACATAGAAAACACATATAGATGTTTGTCATTATTATCATCATAACTGTCATTATAATCTTGTATTACATTATCATCCTTGAAAAAAATCATCTTTCAAAAGCTAATGCAGCAGTAGAAAGAACCAGTGTTTGGAGTTAGAAGACTTGAGTATGATTTCCACCTTAACTAATTAATTTGTATTATTTCTGAGCCTGAATTCTCTTATTTCCAACATGAGGAGACTTTCTACCTCATAAGAACATTCTTTATATAATGCTACGACTGACATTTTTCTTTCTTTTCGTATTTTGGTTCTGTTACCATTTTTGTGGTGACAATCTTCTTATTCTTTTCAAGCCCCTCCCTCAATTTAAAGAACTATAAGGTGAATTCTGAGGTGGCAGCCCCTGCAGCCCATGCCTCTATTGAGCCTGTGTCCCTTTCTGTTAACATTTATTACACCGTGTTGATGTTTATTTCTACGACTGTCTGATGGTGAACTCAATGAGAGAAGACTTTACATCACTGCTCTTTGCATCAAACTGAACGAGTTTACCTATGAGGAGGATTATTGTGAAGACCGAATGTTATATTGCAAATGAAAGGAATTTTGAAAAGATGCTGTGTCGTGTGAAATTAAGGCTGAATTGTTGCTTTTGGTTCCCCATTAAAAAAGAAGAACTCTCTTAGCAGCTAAAAAAAAACTTGATGAAGTAGTGAAGAGGAGAAGCATGTTATTTTCACTGATCTAAGATGGCTCCATAAACTTTTGTGTTTCCGAACCTAATTGGTGGTCGACGTCAGACAACACACAAGATTTCACTGGTTCTTCTTTTCAATCTTACAGACCATTTCTAAAGGACCAGGGTGTTTCCCCTAAAACTGTGTAATTCTAGAATTTTTTTGTCCTTCAATTTCTTTATAGACAAGACTACAAATCTCTTCTAAGTCTCTATAAAAGTGATCTTTTTTTGGCTATCAAAGCAAGAACTTTTACTTGTTGAAATTCATAATATAAATTTCTTCAGCCTAAGGAACCATTTCACCTTTTTCCCCTTTGTTTCAATACTAGTATCCTCTTGGACAAGCGTCAGACTGTTTTCCTGTAAAGGGTCAGATAGTAACTATTTTTTAGGTTTGATGGGCCCTGAGGTCTCTGTTGTACCTACTGTCCTCTGTCATTGCAGTGCAAAAGCAACTCTAGACAATCTGTAAATGACTGGTCACGAAGGTCTTTCAATCACACTTCATTTACAAAAGCAGGTAACCTGCCAGATCTGGCTTTTCAGGCAGTAGGTTGCTGACCCCTGATTCAGTATGCGGCTACTTAAAAGTGTGCTCTGCAGACCGACCCAGTGTCAGCCTCACCTGGGTGGGAGCTTAGTAGAGATGCAGAATCTCAGGCTTCACCCGGACCTGCTGTATCAGGATCTGCATTTCGACAAGATTTCCAGGTGATTCACATGCATGTGTAAGTTTGAGAACCCTGGCTGGAGAGGAATACACAAAGGAGACATCTGGGAGCATATTGTAGCATGCTTCCTGGGTTGAGCTGCTGCTTAGAATGTAAGCTGTGAGCCTTTTTCAGTTTCTCCTTTCTTTGCCAGTTTTCTTCCCCCGGTACATCCTCACCCACTAACCGCATGGTCTGCTGCGGCTGTCAGCCTGCCTTCACAACTGAGCAGCTGCTCATTCCCCAGGTTCTGCGTCCTCCAGGGAGGGCGCTGGGAACTTGTCAGATGGAAAGGGTTTTGCTGGCTGGAAGTGCTGCTCACTGTATGACTGTGACTCGGATATTTACACAGCACCCCTGCCCGCCCCCTGCCCCCTTTTCTGTACCCACCTCTCCTTTCAAGCATCGATATAAATGGAAGAGGAAGCTCGAACTGAGGTGGTTTCTCTTCCATACTGTGATGCTGAAGAGCCTGTGCTAATGATGAACACTTCTCAGTAAAATCATAATGGCAACAGCAAAAAAAAAAAACTTCCAAAAATGCCGGGGAACAGAGCAATTGAGCTGTTCCAGCATTTTCTTAAATGGAACCCAAGGGCCTTAATTATGATGTATGTGTCTTCAGGTAAGACTTTCAAGCAATTTGGAATAGGCAATTATGCAATTTTCCTGCTGTTCTCCTCTCCCCCTTCTCTTTTATCCTTCTTTATCAATATAGACACTTACCAGAATGAAGGGGCCCACACGTGACTTTGCATCGATTCAAGTGGGTGCAGGTTGATGATTCAGCCTAGGAATTGAGTTAACACTCTTCCTCCCTGAGAGTAGCCCGCGAGGCTGCCTTAGTGTTTCTGGAGTGGAAGGTGCATTCTGCTGGCTCCTGCCCTCACCAAGTGGTTGCCCATTCCCCACTTAAACACATCCAGGGATAGACAACGTGTCTACCTGGAGCCTAGTAGTCCTTGCATTGTAGGTCCTCAGTCTGTGTTTATTGAAGGCATGCCCTTTCTTCCAGGGCAGTGCTTGACACTAGGTGAGGGACATCTGACTGAAATCTCTTTTCCTGTGACTTCCATCTATTCATCTTTGTACTATCTTGTGAAACCCTAGCATTAGTTGTTTGGGATTAACAGATACACACTACTATATTTAAAACAGATAAACAACAAGGCCCTATTGTAAAGCACAGGAAACTAGATTCAATTTCTTGTAATAACATATAATGGAAGAGAATCTGAAAAAAAAATGTATGTATCTGTATAAATGAATCACTTTGCTCTGTACCTGAAACTCACATTGTAAATCAACTATGGTACCTGCCATTGTACATTTGTTTTCCCATTTAATCTTCACCATGAGTAGTTGCTACGATTATCCTTATTTTACAGTGAAGGAATCTGAGGCTTTAAACTTGTCTGACGTCTTACAATTAGAAACTAGAGGAACTGAGATTTGAATCCAGACAGTATCACTGGAAAGGGAGTGAATGCTCTTAACCACTAATAGTACCACAGGGCTCATGATAGAAATTTAGGGCATATAAGGTTCTCCAATGACTAGCATTTCCAGAAACTTGCAAGTATCAGTTGCAAAGTGAGTCATGGCTACTTGGGGCCTCTGCACAGGCAGCTATTGTGCACGGGTCATCAGGAAAGGCACTGAAAGCTGATGCTGACGTCCTATTAGTCCTAGTGAAGTGCAGCAATGCAAAATCCCTGCGGGTGTCAGGGGCCCCATTACAATCAGAAGCGTGGCTCCGGTAAACACATAAATAGTGGTGGTCCCCCGCAGAGTTAGCCAGTAAAGTCCCAGTAATCACCTTTCACTTTCTCCTTGATAAGTCGTCTCCAGGCGTCTCACCAAAGCTTCTAGTTAAGGCCCAGGATTGCCAGCCATGCTCCTTGGTGTAAGCAATGCATTAATGGTGTGAAAAATCGCAGCTCACAAGCCCTTCCTTGAGCAACTGTGGTGACAAACAGGCTGCTTTTGCTGCCATGGGGGTGGGTCTCCTGGCAGATTGTACAATTCCTGAGACCTGGAGTGGGCCAGTTCACGTTGAAGGCATGGAAATTGACATTCTGGTCAGATTTCTGTGGTTGTAAGCCTGAATATTTGCCTGGAGCCCTGCTGTTTCAGGCAGTTACTGAGGCCAGTAAAGCTGGGAAAGAGAGGTGACTGAACAGCATTTCAGCTGTTCTGCAAAATCAAATCTGAAAGAGGTGAAAAACAGCATGCCGTTTTTTCTCTTCCTCTGATTGATCATGACAACAAATCTCCTCTGATTGATCATGACAACAAATCTTTCTTCACGGGTGGACGCCACAAAAGTTGCCCTTCTGGAGGGTGGCATGAGAGATGTGAAATCATTTTATGAAGTTCATGTGTTACACAAGTGCACGATGGATGCTGTTGTGGTGAAGACTGGATCGGCTTTGGGTAGAAAGGCAGGGTCTAGGCAAACAAGAAGAGTAGAGAACATAGTGTGTTGGAGAGACCAGAATAAATGTACATGTAAGTGGACAGCAGGTTCATTAGAGGTGAGGAAGTTACTCGGGTGGCTTAAATCCAGTTCAAACCAGGCTGTGATAACTTGCAGCGTCCACCTCTCCTGGGGAGACATACCTGTCACTGAAACAGGGCGTTTGTTTCAGTCTCTTGACCTCCTGCAGACAATGCCTAACTTACCTAATTTCCCCACACTTCCATGCCTGGCCATCCACCTTTCTATTGATACCTTTTCATTCAGATCCATTCAATTACTCAGCAGATATTTACTGAACTCCTCCCATGTACCAGACACTGGTCTACACACTGGTGCACAGATAAATAAGATGGGACACTGCCCCTGATATCCGGCAGGATGAGAGACAAACACATACAGGCAAGAGGCGTTGGGGGTCCTGTGGACTTACCTGCAGTGCATAGTCAGGGAAAGAAGGGAGACGGGGTCACTCCTCCCTGAGAGGGAGTGAGGCGGAGGCAGGTTAGGAAATTCTTCAAGCAAGTCCTGTTTTGGTCTAGAGGTGGTCACAGCTCTACAAGGAACAAGGCATATTCCTGATCTTATCCACTGTATCCAATCCGGAAAGCAATCTTGTTTTCCTTATTACCAGACAACTACTGGGTACCTGTCTTGTGCCAGGCACTGTGCTGGGAAGTATGGATTTGGGAACTTACCGTCTAGTCTGGTGGCAGACATCTAATTAATTATCTCTACAGAAAAGAAGTACATGCCAGAAAAAAATCAGGTGGCCTTCACACATGTTGGTGCCTTACAATATGTCTGGAATTTTTTCCTCAGGCCCCCAGCCTCTCCTTTCACTTCATGGGACTACCTGGGACCCTGCTTTCATGGCTGGGCAGAGTTGTTACTTGCTATGCAAGTCATTACTGACCCCCTGGAAGGATGGCACTTCCTGGAGGTGGGGCCACGTGACTCGCCTTGGCCAATGAAAAAGGAGAGGAGAGATGTGTGCTGTACAGGTGGACTATACAGAATACCAATGCCAGGCCCTCAGAGTCGCTTTGTTCCTGTGGCTGTGCCTTTACTACTGTTGGAGGTGACATCTGTTCTATTACCTGGGACTCTGGGTCCCCATGATTAGCAGGGGCCCCTGGTAAACTGCAGAGGACATCTAGGGTTAGCGAGAAATAAACTTTTGTTTTAATTCCCTGAGATCGTGGGTTGTTATTTACTGCAGCATAACCCGGGGTGCCTGGTGATACACTTTTCTGGGAAGGCCGCCACATGCCACTCGATAGACTAGGCCTCTCATCCATACGTGTGCTTTGCTCCCTGCACATACTCTTCCGTTTAAAAAAAAAATCACACGTTATTACATGTTTAACTGGTTAGACTATAAAAGGGGAGGGACCGTACTTGTGTTGTTTGTTACCATATCCCTAGGCCTAGCACAGTATTTACAGAAAAAAATACGTGTTGAAAAAAATGAATGAATGAACTAGGAATTGTTGCATGGAATTATACATCTTCCTTTTTTTCTTTATTATTTTTTCATTGAAGTGTAGACAGTTACAATGTGTCTATTTCTGATGTATAGCATAATGTTCCAGTCATACATATACATACATTAATTCATTTTCATATTCTTTTTCATTATAGGTTACTACAAGATATTGAATATAGCTCCCTGTGCTATACAGTAGGACCTTGTTTGTTGTTTATCTATTTTGTATATACTAGTTAATATTCACAAATGTCGAACTCCTTATTTATCCCTTTTCACCCCCTTTCCCCTCTCTGGTAACCATTAGATTGTTTACCATGTCTGCGAGTCTGTTTCTGTTTTGTCGATAAGTTCATCGGTGTCTTTTTTTTTTCTTTTTTAGGAATCATACATTTTTGAAGAGACTCAACTCTTCCTATAAATACTAAACAGCTTAAAATCCTGGAAGCCTGTCAGTGACTTCAAAGCATTTCTTTCCTCCATCCCTGACCCCCCAAACTGCTGTCTCTTGGTTTTAAACAAGCTGAGGGTCAAATTATCCTAATTCTCATAGGACAAATTCTAGTTCCCAAAGGAATCATTTTTGTGTGACCTGTAGAGTGGGAACAACAGTTTTCCCTTCCCTGAACCAGAATTTGTTCTGTTGCCTCCACCTACGTTGGAGGAAGTCATGTCCCTGCAGGATGTTGCCCTCAGGCCTCCACGTAGACCCTGAGCCTCTGATGTGGACAGCAAACCACAGACTCTGGACCAACACACCTCTCTTGAAAACATCTTTGATGAAGCAGCTCCCCTCCTTGCACAAACACAACAATTAACTTAAGCAGGTAAAATTGTGTCTTGGGAAGATAATGAGGTTGACTTCCCTGCCTGCCTAATTTTGCCTGTGTGTGTCTGGTATCTTGTCTTGGACCTCATCCAGCTCACCCCAGGGAAAGCATAGCTGGTAGACTCCATGGTGCTTTAATGAAGCGCCTGCCTGTGAAGCAACATCAAAGTTGCTCCAGCTTCAAAACAAGTTACATTCTGGCAGCTGCAATTTTGGGGGCAGTAGGGGGAACTCTGTTCACCCCTCTGGTAGGTGAACTAATGACAAGAGCACAAGAACCACTGCTTTTGGCTGTCACATGTATCCCCGAGCCCCGAGTCAGCCCATCTATTTTATACATGACCCCTTCATTTAGTCTAGGACATGTAGAAGTGAGCCAGGAGGTCCTTCCCCACTGGCTCCTGGTCAAGAGGCCTGTGTTCCTTGAGGAGACTAGACAGGCTTGGATGTGATGCAGCAAATGCCAAGTAGCCCCTGCCACTCCCTGCCACCCACCTCTCCCCTGTTCCTCTGCGGGCCTCCAGGTGACTTGACAGTCTATTTTGCTTTGGGTATAAACTTATTTCCAGCTCTTCCTTTGAAGCCTGCTGAGCACTTATGCACAGAGGCGCTGGCTGCGTGGCTGAAGCAATGGCCCGTGCTCACTGCCACCTCTTTGGTTACGCTTGCTTCCAGTACATTCATCTTGTTGCTAGTTTTTGTTTCCCTGACAATTTGTGATTGCTGGGGTTCTGCCGCTGGATGACCACTCATCTTGATTTTCCAGTGACAAGGACAGTTTCCTTTGGACAATTAAGGGCAAACAAATATAAATAGCATGATTTATAGACCAAAGTGCCAAGAAGGGAAAAGCCAAACTCTGTAACCTCTGTAATGTGAGTCTAGAGATATAGACACTCACAAAATCAGGAAATGCAGAAGGTAAGTTGTCTGTTTCAATGCTGTTTGCCTCCAACTTGGAAGGATAATTGTACGTTATATTAAAGAACGTAGAATAAAACCATATCAGTGTGACAGCAAGTCCATGTGGGCACATATGCAGTGGGTGGGCCCAGCTGGTGAAAGCATGATGCTGGTGAAAGATGTCAGTTCAAGCCCTACGTAGACTTGTGTGTCTCCGGAAAACCTCTGGGCAGAGACAGAGTAAGTTCACACATTGTAGAAATGACCTTTCTGGGTAAGGAAGTAGTTGTCAGAAAGTGAGGTAATTGTGACTGCCCAAAGCAGTCTTTTGCAAAACTATGGCAGGGGTGAGGTATTTTAGACCAGGAAAATGTTTTCATTAAATTGATTAAAAGGTGGCTTTTAAGTCTTCTCTTGTCATGGTGGTCTTTACATTCTATTACTCTGAATCTATAGTCTTTTTAAACTGAACTTTCAGCTCAGAGCTGTTACCATGCCTAACTCTAGATGGAGCCCTGAGAATCATTTGATTAAATAACCTTTTTAATCTGTTTTCTCCAAAGGTCCTATGCAACTGAAAATTTTGCTGGGCCATTGTGCGCAAAGGAAAAAGAAAACGGCAGGGGTAGTAGATATTTCATGGAATGTAGGTCAAGCCAACAGGTAGTAAGTACACTGCCATCCAGAAAGATTTTCCTATATTTAGCATCAGGTATCACCAACTTCATACAAATGGTAGCCTTCCATGGCATTTCAGGCCACTAGCTAATCTCTTAGTTGGATTGTGATGCTTGGTAATGAAATATATTGTTAAACCAGAGCATCTTCTATGTTTTGACTTCAAAGTAACTCATATTCTCCAGAAACCCAGAGCCAGCTCAAAGTAGGTTTCTTTAATAATCATTAAGGTCATCTGACCTATATCACACCAAAGTCAGGATATCAATGACGAGCCATCCTGCTGAGAAATTAATCCAATCAACATATGAATATATGCGTCCTCCAGAAGTCACCATTGATATTGCATGGTTTCTTTTATTGTAGAACTGAGGAGCATGTTACATGTCAAGATGAAATCAATGTGAAATTGATGGGCTGAGAGGGATTTGGTCTTAAGGGCTTTGCAATGGTATAACAATCAAGTTATTCTTTCCCATGAGTTACTGAACTATTTTATTTGTAGTAGCAAATTCTCCACATATAATTCTTTGCATGCTTCCAACATAATTCTTTTTTTAAGTGCTCTAAACTTCATCATTATATTTATTTCTGTTTTTATTATAACATGGATATATGTTCATTTTATAAAGTTGATAAAATAAAAATAAGAAAGATGAAAAATTGTTAATAATCCTACCACTATAACATTTTAGACTATTTCCTACTAGTTTATTTAGGCTTTCAAAAACACAAAATTGAGTTTAATTTTGTGTCTGTAATTTTGTTTCTGCTTTTTTCCTAACAACTATTATAATAGGCATTAATCATATTGTTGAAACTACCCTTAATACCCATAATTTTGGGGGGGTAATCAGGTTTGTTTGTTTGTTTATTTATTTATTTATTTTTATTTATATTTAATGGAGGTACTAGGGATTGAAGCCAGGACTTCATGCATGCACTCTACCATTGAGCTAAACATGCGCTCTACCATTGAGCTATACCCTCCTCCAGTACCCATAATTTTTAATGACTGCTTAACCATTCCCTTTTTATTGGGTATTTTGTTTGGTTTCAATTCTTCATATTTATGAAAGGTTCCATAACTCATAGAATTGTATTGACGATACAATAATTAGTATATTAGATGTAAAAATTATGTATATGTATGTATGTATTTTTTCCTTCAGATTTATTCTCAGAAGTGGAATTGGAATTACTGGATCGATGTTTCTTTTTAATTTTCTCTTCTTTCTGATTCAGGCCCTAAAAGATTTGCTGGATGCTTGAGAAAGACATGCTCTCTTGATCTGAGATTCCTGGAAACAAATCAAAGCATGTTCTCTTCATTTCAGTGATGATGATTTCGTCCCTTTCTGCTTTCGACTGTTGGAGATGCTTTCATTCTCCCCACCCCTCAGCCCCCCAAAACACAGAAATGCACACTGTTCAGTCATGGAAGATGGAAAGTTTCTGCTTATCTTGTCCTGACTGAGAAAAAAGTCTCCTGGCAATTTTGAGCAACACTGTTGAAGGTAAAGGAGTTCTAAGTGATTTTAAGGTGCTTCTTCTTTCTTTTTCCTCAGGCGTGTGACACACATTTGCTACTGAAATCAGTGAGCACAAATGCCTGTGGAGTTAGAGACACATGCTGGTCCCTCATGGGTCAGAGGAAAGTGCTCTGCATTTGATATCGGAATCTCTGGCTCAGGCCCTGTGCTTGGCCACCTTTGTGTCTATTTTACACCATGTGAAACACTCTATTTGAAATCCATGGTCTCATTCAATCCTTATGGTGAGCTCGCAGTCATCACTCCCATTATACTGCTGGGAAAAACAAGGGAGACCAGAGACACACGGCTGCCAAGTGATAGACTCGAGGAAGGTCAGAATGCTGCCCAAACATGTATCTTTCCCATTGTCCCCAGCTGTTCTTATTCCCCACATTTCACTGAACGAACATTTAAGCTCTCTGAATCTTCCTCTGTCCCTTTTAAGTTGTAGATAATTTTGTAGACCCCGCAGGGTTGTTGTGTCAGTCAGGTGAGATCATTTAAGTTGAGTGTGCTGTTTAAAGTGGAATGTAAGTGTTAGGGATTATGAGTATGCTAGTGAAAGAGGGTGGCTAATACAATGTTTACTTACATGGCTCATATGGACTCCTGAAAACTTTGAGATTTCATTTTTTACTTTCTGTTTTATAAATCTTCATTTTATCTGCTTTCCTTTTTAAAATTTTCCTCTAATCAATCCCAAGGAAATGAGATGCAAAAACATTCAATAATTAAATGTTAAGGGATTAGATTTAAGCAAAGCAAAAAATTTGAGTTCTTTTAACACCTTTTCTACATTGTCACTATTGACATTTTTGGGTGGGATAATTCTTTCTGGTGGGGCCCTAACCTGCATATTGTAGGATGTTTGTCAGCATTCCTGGCCTCTGCCCTTAGATGCCAGTGACACTCACTCCCAATTGTGACCATAAGAAAATATTTCCAGATACTGGCGAGTGGAGTGGGAGTGTGAGCAAGTTTATTCTCTTTTGAGAATTACTGCTTTAACAGAATGTCTGTCTCATGGGATGCAAACTGTATTCGCTAGGATTCTTGGTTTGAATGTTTTTATTCCTTAATATGTCAAAAGTATAATGGAGGAGCATTAATTCTGCAAAGAAAACTATCTTTGGTGTTTGTTGCCTTGGTCAGTTCAATTTTTACCACGTTATTACTGGATGAACATCACTGTTGTCCTGACTGCCCAAACAATTTTCACTGATGGCCAATACCAACATCTGAACACAAGATGATAAAAAATAAGAAATAGAGAAAAATAAATATCCCCACAATTATAATGAGAAGCTTGTTCTGGGGATAACATTTCCTGTAAAATTTCCCATTTTTATTACAATGTTGGTCTCAAGAATGGATTCGTGTTGTGCCATTTTCAGTTCTCGTTACCATCATTGTCATAAGAGAGAATGAGCCAAATTGCAATGCCAGGGATGGTCTGTCACTTGCAATAGCTTGAGCGCTCTGCTCTGACCTTCTGTTATTCCAGGGCCACGAGGAGGTACCGTCGCTGACCAGAGAAGATGAAGCACTCTGGGGAGATCAACGGCCACTGGGGCCTGAACGGCTGTACAGTTTAGCACTGGGGATTCTATTTAGCAGTCTAAATTGCAGTTGTTCCATCTGTCCAAAGAGTAACATGGCACACAGGTATGTGACATCACTCGGCTTAGCAGAAGGGAATCTTCATCAAACAAAAGAGACTAGGAGGAGATCTAGTATTTCTGAACACTTACTATGCTCCACCGGGCTAAGACCTTTATATATGTTTGTTCACATAATCTTCACACCAAACATACGATGTAAGTATTAGTACCACCAGTGTTTTACTCTAGGAAGTTAAGTAACTTATCTAAGATCAGACAGAGCTTGGAGATCGTGGCTTGAAAGTCTCTACTTTTACTAATCTGAGCACATCCAGCCAAATATATCAACAAATGACCTAATAACCTAATAACAGATTGTATTATTATGTTCTAAACTTGATTCAGATATTTTCAAGGTAATACATTATTTTAAAAGTGGCTTATTAATTACGGGGTGCAAGGAGGAAGCCTCATCACCACTTCCAGACTAGTCAGTGAGCAAAGGAAGATATCGTGGGGTATCACGATAGAAATTTAGAACTTCTCTTCCTCCTAAGGTGTTAGGGTCTGTTTGCTTTTCAAAGAACTCTAGGTCTTTGTTGTGTTGCCACGTAAGTCAGTATTGCTCTTTGTTCTTCCTAAAGCGAGATTTACTTACTTTTAATTACTCTATTCGACTAACATTTATAAAGCTTTGCTATGTGAAGGGAACTGAGCTAGGTGCTAGGAATGGGTATAAGACACAACCCCTTCCCCTAAGGTGGCTCTCAGACTTACAGTGGTTTAAGAAATGCTTATTAATCTCTATAAAACATAAAAGATAATCAAAAGTGATTAAGAAATGTTCAAATGAAAGAAATGGCATAGTTGAGAGAAGGGACGTATGCTTTTTGACATGGCCATCACAGTACAGACTTTGAAATGACCAGCAGAGCAGCTTCTTGGCCTGAGAAGAGCTGATATGTAAAATTAACAGTAGGTCAAGGTGAAGGTCGCTGATGAGTATCTGTTGATGACTCATCTCACTTTTCCAACCCCCACCCTGAGCAACAGGTGCCTTCTTTCTCTAGCCTTCGTGGGCTTCCTCACTGCCTGCCAACTAGCAGGAGCATTTCCGCGTGGGCACGTGCTGTGTTTCCTCCTGTGGTGGCCTGGCCATGCCTCTCTGTTTATCGAAATCAAATCCTCATCTCTCGAGTGAAATCATTCTTAACTTCTTTGCTAACCACACACCTTTTCCTTTGGATCTGTTCTCTCCTCCCGTTTCTGCTGAAGGGATTGTCTTCGGTTGCCCTACGAACCGTGGGATCCTCTCCCTGCCAGGTGATTGAACCAGAGGCTTATACTTGGCCAAAGGGAAACTCACCGAGCCAAGCAGTTTCTGTCTCTCAGTAGCCTGACTTCAGTGACACAGGGCCTTTCCAGTGATAGTAGAAATGGGTCTGGTCTGAGTCATGTTGGGCCAAGCAGAGGAGTACAGTTGAGCAACAGAAGAAGAAAAGCTAAGAGAAACAGAGAGAGTTCATGCAGCCTCTGAGAAAACAACTCAAGTTACTGAGTTTTCAGGTGTGCTTTTAGCTCACAGGAGGCTCAGTTGTTCTTATTGTCCTGCTTTAGATGCCAACAGATTTATAACCTATCACCAAGTTTCTCTTCCGACTCTAGTTAATTAGAATGGGTTTCTCATCCTTCCAACCCAATGGGCTTCGACCAAAACATCTGGCTCCACTGATCTTCCCATTCTCTGATCTTCCCGTTCTCTGACTCTGTGCTATTCACTTTCTAAATCCATCAGGTGCTACTTAGCGCTCTCTTTTGGCTGCTTCCCCAGTAGATGCCCATTTCCCCCAACAGATTGTAAACTCTAAGTGTAGATGCAATCTGTCATACCTGGGAGGCAGCGTAACCTACTGGCTTAGGGCACAGACTCTGGAGATAAACTTCCTGGGTTCAGATACCAGCATTTCCACTGCATCAGCCCGGATAGGCTGGAGTGTGCTCCATTAACCTCAAATGTGCAGAGGCTGAACACAGCAAAGGTGTGTTTTTTGCTCATGCTAAATGTCCCACTCAGGTTGGCAGGAAGCCTATAATCATCAGAGTCATTCGGGCTGATGGAGGCTCCATCCCAATACCTTCTCAGTGATAATCGAGCCAGGGCAAAGAGAGTGTGGTGGATCACACACTCACTCTGAGAGATTCTGCTAAGTGCATGTCTGTCATGAGCCTTCAAGGAGAACAGAAATACTTCTGAACAGCTCTTAAGTCTTCCATAATTTCTTGCTAGCAGTGTAAGTAGAGGCACATTGCTTAACCTCTTTGTGCCTCAGTTTCCTTTTCTTCATGCATGACCAGGACATGATGCTGTACACCAGAAATGGGAACATTGCAACTGACTATGATTCAATTAAAAAAAAGCTTAAAAAATAAGTAAAATGAAGATAATAATAGTACCAACCTATCGTGAGAATTAATTGTGATGATAATTATAAATTGCTTAACACAGTGTCCAGCTCGTTGTTAATGCCATGTGAGTGTTAGCTGGTGCTTCTTGTAAATACTTAGAGTTACTTGCCTGATTCTTTTTGTTCACATCTCTAGCTGGGAATCAGAACTCCTTGAAGATACCATAGTCGGCATGCTTCAGGGATGACATCTTGATAGTGTTATTTATGGATCCTCTTTCATCTTTTATTCATGTAGGGACAGAAATTTCAACTTGTGTTCATTGGTGCTCTTCTCTTGCCTTGTAGCTTAGCTTTCTTCTGAAAAATCAACTGTACTGCAAAGGCTAGGCCATCACTTTTCCACTGCAGGACCTCCCACCTTCTGTGTAAAATGGGATTCTAAAATAACTGCTGATAATTTAAAAGAAAGACATATACACCTATTAGCTATTCATGGTGTCCATAGTCACCTCAAGAAAATGAACTTCACCACAGGGACCGTGTTAAATATCTGCTGAGGTTTGGTTTAGGAATTTTTATTCTCATTTTCTGTGTAGACTCCCCTGAATAACGTAACATCCTTAGCACTACTGGGAAGGAGTTCTCTGCTGCCTTGAATTGCTGTGCTCAACCTTGCTTCAGGGGAAGCAGAGGGCTACCAGTTGCAGAGACGTGACATTACTTTCAGAGTTTCTATTAGAAAATCTTCTACTCAAACTGAGCACTGGTCAGGAAAAAGGGAAAAAACTTTTTAGAAAAGCTGTCTAGAATAATAAAAAAAAAATGGCTCTATTCTCATAGAGAAGAGATGTGATTTGGCATCACCAAGGGAGTAGATAAGATTCAGTGTAACCAAAAAAATACAGCTTCCAGTCTTATCGTGTGATCAAAAGCAAAAGTATTCTTTTGAATAGTTAGTTGCTCAGATATTTGCTTTAGCACACCCACCAGGGGCCCTCCGTGGTTTTCCTTTTCTCTCCAGGAAGGATGGTAAATAGCACTTTGATCCCTCGGGAGAGTGTCTATTTACGTGGAGACTCCAGCTCTGGCTCTCTAAACACACACAGCCTCCTTCTGTTCTCTTTAGGGCTCTGCCAAGCCCACGAGGAGCAGGCAATGCGCCCGGTGGCTGGTGCCCCCACGCCCTGCCTGGAATTAAACCTCTACCTGATTCAGCCAGTGCTTCTCTGTATTGTGCTTCTCATCCCTCTGGCATGTGGTCTCTCCTCTTGGTTCATTTTCTTTTCAGTCAGCTTTTGTCACCTTTCCTCTCCTGCTATTTCTCTCTCTCTTTTTTTAAATTGAAGTATAGTCAGTTTACAATGTTGTGTCAGTTTCTGGTGTACAGCATAATGTTTCAGTCATACATGTATATACATATATTCATTTTCATATTCTTTTGCATTATAGGTTACTACAAGTTATTGAATAGAGTTCCCTGTGCTATATAGTAGAAACTTGTTGTTTATCTATTTTTATATATAGTAATTAGTATCTGCAAATCTCGAATTCCCAGTTTATCCCCTCCAACCCCCTTTACCTCCTCCTACACTATTGGTGGGAATGTAGTTTGGTGCAGCCACTATGGAAAACAGTATGGAGATTCCTCAAAAAAATGAAAAATAGACTTACTATATGATCCAGCAATCCGACTCCTGGGCATATACCCGGAGGGAACTCTTAATTCAAAAAGTTACATGCACCCCAATGTTCAAGCACCACAATTTACAATAGCCAAGACATGGAAACAACCTACATGCCCATCGACAGAGGACTGAATAAATAAGTTGTGGTATATTTGTACAGTGGAATATTATTTTGCCATTTCTCTTGATCTCTACTGGTCATACTTGGAGCTCATATTTTGCTTGAGTGTCATTCAGCTCAGTAGACTGGTATTATTTTGTTCTATCTTGATGGAGGAAAATAAGATAAGACCAAACCAGAAGGTGTGGGTGTCTCAGAGTAGCTTCTCCCAAGTCCTATAATACTGTGGTGGAACTGGGCTGGAAGTCAGGACTGACGAGTGGGCTGGTCCCCACTGGCTGATGTTTGACAGTGTGCCAGCTGTGGTGCTATCTGTTACCAGATGGCATTTTAATTAACATAACAAGCCAATGAATTGTTTACCCTCATTATGCCCACTTTACAGATGTGGAAAAGAAAACTTGGAGAAGCCAAGAGACTTGCCAAGGTTATACAGAGAGGACCCAAGAAGGACTGATTCCAAAGCCTATGATAAACTCAATGTTTGTGTCCCTCACAAAATTCTTATGTTGAAACCTGATCTCCATTGTGAAGGTGTTAGGCGGTGGGGCCTTTGGGAGGTGCTTAGGTTGTGAAGGCGGAGCCCTCACGAATGGGATTAGTGCCCTTATAAGAGAGACCTGGGAACGCGCCCTTGCCCCTTTCAACACATGAGGACACATTGAAAAGATGACCGTATATGAACCAGGAAGCAGGCTCTCATCAGACACTGTGTGTCCAGGCACCTAGATCTTGGACTTCTCAGCCTCCAGAACTGTAAGAAATAACTTTCTATTGTTTACAGGATACTCAGTTTATGGCATTTTGTTTTATCAACTGGAACACCCTAAGACAGAGCCCAAGCCCTAAACCGTTATGTGAGACATTAACCTCTTTGGAACTCAGTATCTTCCTACGTAAAATAATTCACTTGGTTTGGGGTTTCTCAGCCTCAGCACTGTTGATATTTTGGGCCAAATAATTCTTTGTTGTGGGGTTTGTCTTGTACTTTGTTAGGATGCTTCGCAGCATTCTTGGCTTGTACCTACCAGAGGCCAACAATTCCTCCCCCTTGCCCAGTTGTGACAAGGAAAAAATGTCCTGGTGTGGGGCGGGGTACAGAATTACCCCTGACTGAGAACTATGGGCCTAAATAATTTCCATGGTACTGTCTAGAATTAACAGCCTGCCATTCAACATGTGCCTCTCTGGTTTCCTCTCTCAGTTCTTCTTCTCTTACTTTTCTATTCCTTTCGTTTGCTTAGTTCACCCTTCTGTACATTAGGGTTAATGAAACTGCCCACCTTCACATACAGCTGTTTTGAAGATGAAATGAAGTACTGATACCAAGTCCTAAGGATGGTCTTTGGCACATATTAAGTGCTCAGAACAACCATCTGTCTTGTTGTTAAAACCCCTGTCCCTGCAAGCAGATTAACCATACCCCCATCTCCTCTGAGACAAGCTGTGCCCAGCTCACTAGGAGAGGAGAGAAGAAAGGAACCAACCACTCTGGAGACCCTGAAGGAAGCCCTCCTCTCTCCTCTTGGCCAGCGGCCCATTTGTAATATTGCGGGCTAGAGGCTCTCGTGGTTGGGGGGAAATGAGGTCAGACTTTAAGTGTAGTCAATTAATTGCTGCAAATCACTTTCCTTTCAGTCAGATTTAGGTAATGGCATATTGCAAATGGCAAACCCTGCTATTTGTCATCTTCACGAAAAAAAACCCTCAGTGGCTTTCCCTCTGTAAATTCTGAAGAGAGGCTGATAGGTTTCCCTCATTTAAATATAGCATAGATGCATTTTTAAGAAGCCATTCCAACTGAAGGGAGTGGAATTGACAGACCCGGACCTTGAATGCTCCTCTGATATACCGATGCTCTGCGGAGCTTGGCAAGGCCGTTTTTCAGCCCTCCCTGGAGCATTTTCTGTTTCCTTCCTCGGTGCTATTTTAGACTCTTACTTTACATACTACCTGCAACCAAAACAGTGATTATCTTCCCCAGAGAGAAAACTGAGAGTATTTTTCTTCTGCAAAGTTTTAAGATCCTTCTTCCTTCCTAAGCCCATACTGAGACCCACTCAATGGCCCCCATTTGCCTAAAACATGTTTGCAGCTTTGCCATCTAGTCGTCTCCCATACTCTGACCATTGGGTCAACTGCCTTTGTCGCCAAAGTCTTTTTGGTGAATGAAGCCTTGTAAGTGGTTGGGCAGGGCTAGAAATCTCCGCTTCGAGGTCATAGTTTCACTTGCTTGTTTACCTTTGGAGGCATTGTCTTGGTCTTCAGGAAACAGCGCCAATCACCTTCCACCTCTCTTGTGATATCTCGCCATCTTTTATCCTTTCCAGTTTCTGTTTTGTGCTTTTTGCTAGCCTCTTTCTTTCCTTCTCACTTTCCTGTGAACTTCAGTCACCACCCACAAGAAGAGGTAAGAAAAAAGTCCATTTCCCACTGTCTTCTTGTCCAGAGAGAACTCACAGACAAAGGTATGCGTAATCTCCCAAAGATTTACTCCATAGATGCTCATTGGATCTTGTCATGGAATTAAAATTGAGTGTTGGAGGGTATAGCAAATGCTGGGTTAAATGTTAGTAATTTTAAAGAAATTAAAGCATTTCTCAAACGTTTGAACATACTAATATGAATTGTGAATTTATAAGAAGAAGGTAACAAATACAAGTTTCTTAAACTTGTTTGATTGAATATCCCCATATCCCTCTTTTTCTTTTTCTTTTTAAATGGAGCATCTCATAGATGTCTGTGCAACACATTTTGGGAAAGGCTGTTCTAGGCTATTTCCCTTGTAATATTCCAAATGCTCCTTGGAGTTCTATATTTTTCACGTTTTAAAACCAAATTGCCTTGTTTTGGAATCAAACACTGGACCTCCTGATGGCTGAAAAGAACATGAATTTACAAAAGGAGAGAAAGCATAGCCTAGGTAGCATTCTTTCTTTGAAATTATCAAAACACACAATGCTTTGTGTTACTGATGTAATAAAAGAAGTGAACTCAATTGGATTACACCCATGGAAAACATTTTACTTCCTTAATCATGACTTTTAAAAGGCAAGAGCACTGCTGACCTGCCCACCTCTAACTCTGTCTCGTGTATACCCCATAGTCTTCCAGTCACTTTCAGTTAGAAAGTGCAGTCATTCCCCCCAAAAATATTAAATGGAAAATTCCAGAAATAAACAATTCGTAAGTTTTAAGTTACCTGACATTCTGAGAGGTGTGATGAAATCTCCCTCAATCCCAGTCCGTCCTGCCCAGGACACAAATCCCTTTGTCCAGTGTATCCTCCCGTTAGTCATGTAGTAGCTGCTCAGTTCTTGGTATTAGATGGACTGTTGTGATACAGCAGTGCTTATGTGCTTATGTTCCAGTAATCCTCATCTTACATAACAGTGGCCCCAAAATGCAAGAGTAGTTGATACAGGAGGGAGGGGGGCAGGGCACAACCATTGAAGGAATGAAACAGCAATTGAGGAAAGGACAAACTGGTAGAAACAAGATGATGGAAGATTCAACTTGCAGTAGACCTTGAGCCTCATGACACACCCACAGGCACCATTACAGTTCCCAGGCTGATGATAAAAGGCCAAAAAGTGGGCGGGTTCAATTCTTGGAAATCCCTGTCCGTTACCCAACATAGTTGGAATAATCCTCCCACTTTTTAGCATGTGAAATTACCCAGGGCATAAAAACTAACCACCCCCACATCTCACTGCAGCTCTCCTTCCTGAGTGAGATAGACCATATTTTGCCTATGAAATCTCTACCTCCTAGGACTGTGTCTCTTGTCTTCTGTGACGGTCTTCAGTATGTCTATGGAATGTGTACCTCCCTGAATAAATCTACTTTCACTTTACTATGGCTTGCTCTTGAATTCTTTCCTGCATGAGACGAGTACCTATTTTCCAGCAACGTAATAATGCTGGCAATTCAGATACTCTCTTACTGTGCCTAATTCATAAATTAAAATTTACCATAGGTATGTATGTATAGGAAAAAACAGCATATGTGTGGCTTGGTACCATTCGCAGTTTCAAGCATCCCTTGGGGGTCTTGGAACATATCACCTGTGGAGAAGGGGGGGACTACTGTAGTGTCATTTAGGGTAATTAAAACTATATATATATAGTGTCTGATTCAGACCAGTGTAAACCACAAGTTCAACCTCACATCCAATTCAACCTTCTTCCCTCTCTCCAACAGACTTGAGTAGTGGCTTTGGGACTTGTAATGGGGCAAATGACATGATTGTTCTCCCTTACTATCCCCTGTTCTTTTATTTCTGTTGCATATCCTTCTGAATCTTGTAGGAGGTTTGGAGGTAGGAGAAAGAAGCTAGAGGAAAAAGGACAAAGGTCTTTGGCTTTGTCCTTGATGCTACTTGCATATTTCTTGTAACTATATTTTTCCATGATGGGTGTCTAAATGCTGGCTTTTTGGTCTGGGACATTGATGGATTATTTGGAGGCTGACTGAACCACCATACTGCACCCAGTAAGAGCAATGCACTTTCCGTCTAATCTCCTGTATCTACTCCCATTGCTGGTGGTGAATTCAAGGTCTTGTACTGCTTGGCCAGGGTCCTTACAAGGTGGTCCATTTATCTTCCAGGATATCCACTTGATTCTCAAGAAATTCATGCATCCTTGCTGGGCAGTCCGTCTTTGCCATCACAGACTGCTCCAGCCAGACTCCTACCTTTAGAATTCTCCAGATAAGAGGCAGATCCAGGTTTATGACTGTGTGCATGAAATTTCAATAGACACATATCAGACTCTCCTGAGAATTAATTTATTGCCCTTCACTCAGGTGAGCGCATTGGTTTAGTTCTACAAGGGTCTGCAGCTCAGCAAACATTCACACAAGGCTATCACTCACTCTATGGATACTTTTTTGGACCCTTCTCTATTTATTTTTGAGGGGGAGGCTCTTTCTGTCCTCCCCAAATAAAGGAGGGGGGAAATCCATTGCACTTTTCACCTCAGAAAAATCTATCAATTCTCTTCTATCACCTTTTGGAATTTCTAATTTTCCCTTATTAAGGTGATTAGGTAGTGATAGGGATTAATAATCACTGGGGTAGTTCTATGATTCTTATCAGGGATAGAATGAGCATTCTTCTTAGTATTATCATCTATTGAATTGCAGAAGATAACAGGAAAAGATTGATTTAAAGTCATGTAACACATAGAAATCAGTTCCTCAATGCCAATATTCTTCATAATGTTTTTCTTTTGTTGGTATTAAATAATTTCCAAAATAATTTCTATTGTCTGAAAATCTTTTGTTGCTAGAGTTAATATGATGTGAATACCTACCTGATTTATATGCTATTTTCTTGTGCTCTGTTCCCAGGAGTGGCTCACCTGTGTAAAAGGGCATTAACAACTTCCCAGCTCTTGCAAGTTTATGGCTAAAGCCCAGAGTAAATGACTGCTAAGTGTTTAGAAGTGAGTTTATTAAACTTCTGAGTAATACCACAGTGCATACGCAGAGGAGTTAAAACAGGAAGCACTTAGTAGATTTTATATTTAATTTCATTAAATGAAGTGGCCTAATTAGACAATTCTAGCTAATCATTTTAAATTTTAGCTACCTAGAGCTGTAGCCTCTTACCAATTCTGTGATCTGGCTGGGCTGGTTTCCCATGCATTTATTGTTTCTCTCGCTTATTACCTGGTCTTTTTTGGGGGGAAGAGGGGGAGAGGAAATTAGGTTTATTTAGAGGAGGTACTGGGGGTTGAACCCAGGACTGTCATGCATGCTAAGGATGCGCTCTACCACTTAAGCTACACCCTCCCCTCTCTTCTGTTTTCCCGTGGTGGTGTTTGCTTAGTCTCAAGTCTCCAATAGTCTCCTTTCCTGCTGGGTTCTCCAGCTGTAAGGCACTCCCTTACTGCCTCTCCCCCCCCGCCCCCCATCCCCAGCTGTCTCTATGGGTCACATCAAACTGATGATTTTAACAGATTTGATTAGTATTTAGCTGGGGCCAGGGACCCTGGTTAACTTCTAGAATGTGTTTATAAGGCAAAGATACATTTTGTTCCTAATTATCCTTTCACTAAGCGTAAGAATTAAAAGGGTATAGAAGTTTGAGATTTTTAAACAGCCTTTATGTTGCAGGCGCTCAAGGCCTGACCGGTTCACGGAGTTGGGCAGACCGACGAAGGCCGCTGGTGGAGCCACAAGTGTCGCTAACATGCCCTGGTTGCGGAGCTCGAGCGCACGGGCTTCAAGGGTGGCAGGGGAAAGTCCCGGCCGCCCTATATGCCAAGGCAAGCCAAGCCGCCAGCTAGCCCACTATGACCTATGGGCTAAACACTGCGGTTGCGCAGCGCAAGCCATTACGTAACAACCAGGGGTCCTGCGCATGCGGGATTATACTGCTGAGTCATCCGGCGCCCGACCTCCGGCGAGGGGTCCTGCTGTCTCCGTTTCGCTACAGCCTCCATCCCAGAAAAGGGCCGAAGCCAGTCAAATACGTAAAACGAGAAGGAACCCGAAGCCCACAGCTCTGTTTCTCATGAGTCGGGGGCGAACACCGTCTTGCCTTCACTCAGGCTGGCCTGTCTACTGGGGAACAAGCAGAAACACCTGTGAGGCAGGAACCCCTGAAGTGGATAACGCAAGACGCTGCTTTTGTGAAGGCACCTATTTTCAAGCGTTCCAGGTCCCGGAGGTATGTTGTCATTTTTGAAACATTCGCAACACATGTCGGTAAGAAAGAGACCCTTTGTTAGTTTTATTTAAGGAGGGAAATTGAGATGCAGCTAGGAGAAGCAGGAAGCACCCAGTCCGCAAGCTACCAGGGAGAATTTCTGTTACATGGCAGCTTGTGAACGTGTTTGCTTGAGGAAAGAGGCAGTACTGCTCAAAGCAAGGCAGGATGTGAATGATTTTTTAAGAAACAAGTGTTGGCCCAGATTTTGACTGGAGATGGTGCCCCATGAACCTTGGTATTCAGTAAAAGTATTCTGCAGTCAAATGCGCTACCACTGAGCTATACCCCCACTGGTAAAAGTATTCTGAATGAGTGGGGAGGGCTCTGGCCCAAAGCTTGATACAGTCAGCCGTAAGTACAGGTTGCTGACTTTCTTGCTGGCTATCTTGTAACATTCCTAGCTTGACATACAAGGAGGAAAATAATGTACCCAGTGGTAGAAAAGCTTTTCCATCCTCTTGACTGCAATATCACCGAGAACCGATTTCAGGAAAACCCGGGGTTCCATTATTCCTGGAAAACCAGTTCATCCCTGATCATAACCTATCTGAGATTCAGGAGGCCTTCAGAGCTCTGTGAGTTCCTAGCAAAATCCGGCACATTTTACCTCTGCTCCGTAGCCTCCTCGCCTCTCGCCAGGTGTATTAGTTGATGTCCTCCTGGAAGCAGATGCCAAGACAGAGTTCCAGGTGTAAGAGGTTTATTCTGGTAAATGCCCATGAAAGGTAAAAGGGAAGGAGGCAGGCGAGGAATGCCTCAGACAACTGTGAAAAAAAGAAGAGGAAGGAGAATTGGTATGAAGAGTCAGACTGTAGGATGGCCTTAAGACGGTGTGTGTGTGTTCGTTCTCTGTAGAGCAGGCTTAAGATGGTTTTTTGTTTATTTTTTGTTGGGGGGAGATAATTAGGTTTATTTGTATATATGTTTGTAATGGAGGTACGGGGCATTGAATCCAGGACCTCGTGCACGCTAAGTTCGCACTCTACCATTGGGCTACACCCTCCCCCACTCAAGATGATCTTGATGAGGCCCACGTGGAGGCCCAGAGAGAGAGGAGTCCTGCATTTAGCGGGAACGGCTTGTCTCTAGGACTGCCCCCTTGCTGGTTCTTGGCTGGGAGTAGCCCAAGAAGAGCCTGGCCTTGGAAACAATGCAATTAGTCACTCATGTGAGGCAGCTGGCTACTCTGAGCTAACTTAGGTTTTCCTGAGAAGAAAAGTCTGAGCAGTGCACCCCATGCTGCTAATCCACAACACCACTCACCACTTCCCCAGCGGTAAGAGAAGTCTGCGAAAGAGCCCTTCTACCAGACTTAATCCTGTTATGCTTTGTATTCCTATTTACCTCATGCAGTCAAAGGCTCAGGACATCTATTTTTTTTTAACTGAGGTATAGTACAATTGAAGTACAATATTATATAAGTTTCAGGTGCACAACATAGTGATTCACAATTTTTAAAGGTTACATTCAATTTATAGTTATTATAAAATATTGGCTATATTCCCTATGTTGTACAATATCTTCTTTGTAGCTTGTTTATTTTATACATAGTAGTTTGTACCTCTTAATCCCCTGCCCCTGTTGTGTCCCTTCCCCCTTTCCTCTCCCTGCTGGTAACCACTAGTTCTCCATCTATGAGTGTTTCTTTTTTGTTATATTCACTAGTTTTATTTTTTAGATTCCCCATATAAGTGATATCATACACTATTTGTCTTTCTGTGGCTGAGTGATTTCACCAAGCATAATACCCTCCAAGTCCATCTGTATTGTTGCAAATGGCAAATTTCTTTTTTTGTGGCTGAGTAGTATTACATTTTGTGTGTGTACATGTATACTGTATCTTCTGTTGTCCAAACGTAACACACGGCATTCTGTCTCCTCATGAGACTCTGTCTTGCACCACTCCCTGTCCACCCAGACCCTTCCACCTGCTCTCTTGACTTCTCGGAGTGTTGTGAGCAAAACCGCCCACATCTTCAACTCTCCTAAAAATATTCTCTTCCTCTTGTTCCAGCTGAACTTGGTTCACCCCAGAGACCACTTCCTTCTTGAGTGGTGGTTATTTTTCATCTCCTATAAATACATTCTGGGTATGAGGAGAGTGGAGTGGACTTGCTGCTTACTTGTTACTACTTTTCTAAATACGTTTTCTCAATATAGCATCTCCTTTCAAGGACCCATCAGACTTTATACTTCCTACTCATCTTCCTTTTTAGCATCGTCTCTCAACCTCTTGGTCACTCTCCTTATTCATAGAGGATTTAGCGCTATCCTCCTCTTCTGCTGCTACTTCTGTTAATACTTTTGGGCACTGTATCACCCAGGTGTCCGATCTATCCAGTACTTGGATCAGCTGGATCAATTGCTGTGTTGTTGGTTAAAGCCAGCCTCTCTACTTAGCACTGGGTCCTTCCCACATCTATACATGGAAATTACCCTTACAAGTATCTCTTCTTTTCCACATTCAAAATGTGCCCATTACCATTGGGTTATTCCTATCAGCTGGTATATTTCTCATCTTAATGGCATAAGAAATAATATTAAAATAAATACTTTTCATTCTGAAAGCTCCTGTCTTGACTTAGACTTCCTCTAGTTATTGCTCCACTTCTCTGCTCCACTTTAAAACAAAATGCTGCATTTACATCTTTATGTCGTCACTTCTCTGGGTCTTTGTAGCCATTTCAATCAGGCTTTCAGCCCCTCTGCTTCATTAATTACTAATACTGATTTTCCCAAGGTTGCCAAGGATCTCCATGTTTCTGGTACAATGATGACTTCTGTCTCCTTGCTGAAACAGATAGTTCTTGCTGAGCTTCTTTGAAAAATTTGATGTGATTTACTATCCCCTTATCTTTGCAATATTTCCATAACTTCAGTTATGAATCACCATACTCATTGGCTCTCCTGCTCAGTCACATTAGCTGGTTCTCCTTCATTCTCTCCTCTACCCCCAGCTTTATTGAGATATAATGGACAAATAACATTGTGTAAGTTTAAGATGTACAATGTGATGATATATGTATATATTGCAAAATGGTTACTGCAGTAAGGTTAATTAATGTATCACCTCACAGTTACTATTTTTTTGTGTGTGTGTGTGGTTAGTATAAGATCTACTTTCTTAGTAAATGTCAAGTATATAATACAGCATTGTTAACTATAGTCACAATGCTGTATATTAGACTCCAAAAACTTACTCATCTTATAAATGAAGGTTGTTATTTTTTGACCAGCTTCTCCCTATGTCTTCCACCCCTAAGCCCCTGGCAATCACCAATCTGTTTCTATGAATTCAACTTTTTTAGATTCCACTTAGAAGTGAGATGCAGTATTTGTACTTTCTCTGACTGATCTCATTTAGCCTCAAGATTCATTCATATTATTGCAAATGAAAGGATTTTCCTCTTGTTCATAGCTGAATAATATTCCATTGTATATACAGTCAGCCCTCTATATCTGTGGGTTCCACATCCAAAAATTCAGCCAATACAGATCTAAATATTTTAAAAATATTCCAGAAAGTTCCAAAAAGCAAAACTTGAATTTGTCAGCAACTATTTACATAGCATTAACAGTGCATTTACAACTATCTACATAGCATTTACATTGTATTAGGTATTATATGTAATCTAGAAATGCTTTAAAGTATAAAGGAGGATGTGTGTAGGCTATATGCAAATAGTATGCTATTTTATATAAGGGACTTGAGCATTCTCAGATTTTAGTATTTGTAGGGGTCCTGGAACCAGTCCCCACCAGATAATGAAGGGCAACTGTATCCTTCGTTTTTTGACCTTTGAGTGTTAGCATGGCTTGGGGTTCAGTTCTTGGCCCTCATGTTTCTCTGTTGACACTGACCCTCCAGCTGATCTCATTTAGACTCTCCACTGACCACCGCACTCTTACATACAACTGCCTGATGGCAACTTCACCAAATGCATCTGAAAGTTACTATAGCCAAATAGCATCTTTGGAAGCATCTTATGCTTCCACCATAACATGTGTTCATGTGTACACACACACATACACCTCATGCATCCTTTCTTCATTTAGGAAACGGCACCTTATTCCTTCAGTTGCCCAGGCCAAGAGCCAAGGGGGATGTTTAATTCCTCTCTTTCCTTCACAGATCACGTTGTTATGCTTTGTCAGTAAATCCTGTTAAATCTAGCTTTGAATTACACCCTGAATCTGCCCTCTTCTAGTCATCACTGCTAGCATCCTCTTAATGGCCAGCATCATTTCTCTCCCAGACTATTGAAGTAATTTCCTCAGTGGTCTTCCCTTTCTCACTTTTCCCCTCAATACTGATTTTTCTCTACATCATAGTCAGTGATTTTGTAGAAATCAGATCACTTTGTGCCCCTATGGGGATCACCATAATCACTCCAGATAAGTATTTCAATTTAGTTGAAAGACAAAAATATTAAATTTAATAAAAACTTACATTGACCTCTTCATCGTTTCTTTCATTTTAAAAAATTTTTTAAACACGAGGAAAAGCAACATCTGTTGTTCTTAGAGTCTGACACTCTTCCCCATAGCAAGAAAAGTCTCTTCATAGGTAAGTAAGCAAGTGCCATTTTAAGTTGCCAGGGAAACAGGGCTCTCAAGCTAGAGAAGGAAAGTCTTAGGGTCACCCAGGTTTGGAGCAACGTCTTGGGTCACCACTTCTGCTCTGGGTCCAGAGTTTTCCATCCTTCTGGTTGTTCCCTTGGCCTCCCCATGTGTCACCTCTGGCTCCACGCCAGGGTTGAGGGAGGTTCCCAGAGTTAATCTCCAGCTGGGATGTGATGCCACTGGCTGCTTTCCATATGTCAGCCCATCTGCACAGGCTGTCTCTGAAGCCTTCAGATCTTCCCACTGCCACACCCACTCAACTTTCACTTTGCCTTTCAGACCCCTGGCAAGAAATGTGTCCTTCTCCAAGCCTAATATGATTCTCCCAAGCAGAG